GTGTAGTCATAAGTGTTTGAGGGCTCCATAGGCCTCAAGGGAGGCTCTATAGTGTACTTTGTTCGAGGGGAGGATTGTTGGGAGGGAGTCTCACCTTGGCTAATTTAGGAAATGATCATGGGTTTATGAGTAAGGAATACATCTCCATTGGTATCCGTTGGTACGAGGCCTTTTGGGGAAGTCCAAAGTAAAACCATGAGAACTTATGCTCAAAGTAGACAATATCATACCATTATAGAAAGTCGTAATTTAGGGTGAATGACATCTCAAATATTTGTCGCCCATTCGGAAGTAATCATAGAAGTGTTGCTACCTTTGGTTGAAAATGTGATGAACAGATTTTGGTAGAGAAAATCTCAGTGAGAGATTGACTTGGTCAAAACATTTCTTTGTAACGACCCTTAATTTTCTAAATTCTAAGGTCGTTACTGTATTCATATTATAAATATTGAATGGGGAATACTTCATTTAAACTTTCATAAAATATAACCTTCATCTTAAAACATAGTCATGAACTTACGTGTTCAAAACCATCTTTAAATACTCAAGTTACATGCTACTTTTGTTTCAGGTAAAGGCAAGGCGTCATTGTACGGCAAACAACGGCATCCCAACTCAAGACCATAACATACGTATAAGGTAGTCACATTTATTTTTCTCAGACTTAGGCTAAAATAGTATCTATGATTGTGATTTAAGATGAAGATTATGTGTTATGAAAGTTTAAATAAGAAATCATATCGTAGCAATCTTAGCTTAAGTAGAAAATTTAGGGTTGTGAAGTTTTTTCTAGTCCCATCCCTTTTAGGAGGAGCCCAATTGGATGTGGGATGTCATCTGGGTGTGTAAGTTAACCTTATTTCCTTTTGATAGAGAGGTTTAATCGATAGTTCATTTACTTCCGGTCAAGATAGTTTTGAAAGTTTCTTTGAGAAGTCGATTAAACTAAGAAAAGAGATAATCAAAACAATATGAAGAGAAGTAGTTAGACAATTTACACCGAGAGATAGCAATGAAAATAACATGTTGTATGAAAATGTTCGTGTTTTTTCGTTGATGATATGACTCAATCCTGACGAACCATAAGAAAGCTTTGACGACGTGCAACCATAAGAGTCTCTACCTTCCTTTGGAAGGACAGCCCTCGAGTGTAAGAGATAAACTGCAAGGGAAGCCTAAAAGGGAAGGACATTTCCCTCTGGAGTAGGAAAATCATGATCACGACCCTTTCTCCAAAGTTACAGGGCTATTTTGCCTGTAAAGAAAATGGTTTTAGAAAGAAGGTCAGATCATATGGTTTTGAAAGGGCTCATGAGAAGTTGGGTGGATACTCTATTTATGGATTCAAGCAGAGATTTGGTGGATTGAGATATAGTGGATATATCATCCGACAGTTGTTGAATATTAGACACTGAGAAAGAGAAACCCATTCAAGGATCTCCAACTCGATGAGATTCTTATGGAGATTAATATCCCAACGTCCAGATTTCTTAGGGAGATAAAGGATTCATTGGACATAGCCTTAACGTATCATCCATTCAAGAATGCAAAAGCCCTACTATGGAAGAACTTCACCATGACTTTCTTTTAGAATCTGTGGAAAGAAAGAAATCAAAGAATTTTTGCGAAAAAGACACGGACTTGTACAAAACTCATTAATATTTTTACTTCCTATAGATATTACCTCCCTTTTGTAAATTTCAACCATTAGTGAAATTGTCACTTTTCCACTCTCACCTCCAAAAAAAACCAAACTCTGCCTTACGTAAAGTTGTCAGAGTACGCTTAACCTCGGGATTTGAAATCACTACTTATATACCTGATATTGGCCATAGTTTACAAGAACATTCTGTAGCTTAGTAAGAGGGGGAAGGGTTAAGGATTTACTTGGTGTGAGATATCACATTGTTCGCGGAACCCTAGATGCTGTTCGAGTAAAGGATCATCAACAAGGGCGTTCTAGTGTGTTGTAGATTCTTATTCAAGACTTGTATTATTTGATGATGCCATGTGAATCGCTAGAAACCATGATAATATATATATATATATATCCCAACATACCTCCTCCTTCAATAAATCAGAGACAGAGACCTCCTTTGAGAAGGAAAGATCAGGAATTTTGTAAGGAGGGTAAATATAACAGCTCAAGCCTATTGTTAGCAGATATTGTCCTCTTTGAGCTTTCCCTTTCGGACTTTCCCTCAAGGTTTTAAAATGTGTCTACTAGGGATAGGTTTCCATACCCTTTATGAGGAATGTTTCGTTCCCCTCTTTGCTACCTTAATTTTTTTATTTTATTTTATTGGTTGAAGAGGGGAAAGAAACATTTTTTTATAAGGGTGTGGAAACCTCTCCCTAACAAACGCGTTTTAAAACCGTGAGGGTGACTACAATGCATAATGGGCCAAAGTGGACAATATTTGTTAGCGGTGGGTTTGGGCTGTTACAAATAGTATCAGAGCCAGACACCGGGCGGTGTACCAGCAAGAACGCTAGGTCCCCAAGGAGGGAGGATTGTGAGATCCCACATTGGTTGAAGAGGGGAACGAAACATTCTTTATAAGGGTGTGGAAACCTCTCCCTACAAACGCGTTTTAAAATCGTGAAACTGACGACAATGCATAACGAGCAAAAGCAGACAATATCTGCTAGCAGTGGGCTTGGTAAGCAACATATTTCCCATTTTCCAAATTCACAGTACTATGCTCATCCACTATACTTTGCGAGAATGAAATAACCTTCCAATGGCCTTTTGCTGCAGATAGCGAAGGTTCCCACCTTTGGACTAGAAAGGAGGATCCATATTTAGCAACAATCAGTCTTCTCCACAAAGCAGGTTTTTGATCGGAAACTTTCATATCCATGGAGTGATTCGTTCCTCCCATTTAATTTTGTGATCCAGACCACATGGTTAGAATCGCACAACAACGTATACACTCGATCTAGATAAACACAAAAAATAGGATAGGGAAAATGTAAAGAGAAAAGATTTTTTTGTATGAATGACTTCATGTATCTCTATAATAAATACATTTTCAAAGCTCCACGTAAAAGGGATATGGTTTAATTTATAGTGTTAAGAAGATTCTTTACATATTCATTGTTGTATGTGGAGAAGAGAATGATGCCATCGGCCAATTGGAGATGACTAACCGAAACACCATCATGCCCCACACTGAAGCCTTCCATTTTTCCTTCTAGTTTTGTTGAGGATTGTTGGAAGTGAGTCCCACATTGACTAATTTAGAGAACGATCATGATTTATAAGTAAAGGAATACATCTCCATTGATATGAGACTTTTTGGTGAAGCCCAAAGCAATGAGAGCTTATGCTCAAAGTGGACAATATCATATCATTGTGGAGAGTCGTGATTACTAACCGGTTCCACTTTGGTCAATAGCCAACTTAGTGAGTCGATTATAGGAAAAGGGATAATGGATCACCTTGTCGAATGCCCTTAATAACACGGATTTCACAGCGGTGCCCATTGATAATGATAAATGCTCCTAGTTATTTCTAAGTTAAGTGTTTTTATCCTTCGAAAGGTCTTTGTTTCTTATTATTAAAAAAGAAGCAAATATGTGGAAGTTCAATAAACATTATTTTGAAGGATCTAAAGATTCCAGGAGGGAGTTAAAATCTCACCTTGGTTGGGGTGGAGAACAAAATAATCTTTACAAGGATGTGGAAACCGCTCTCTAGTAGACGCGTTTTAAAAACCTTGAGAGGAAATTCGAAAGTAATAGCTCAAAGAGGACAATATCTGCTAACGGTGGGCTTAGGCCGTTACAAATGGTATCAGAGCCAAACACTGGATGATGTGCCAGCAAAGAAGCTAAACCCAGAAGGGGGTGGACACAAGGCGGTGTGCCAGCAAGGACGCTGGCCCCAAAGGGAGGTGGATTGGGGGGTCCTGCATCGACTAAAGAAGGGAACGAGTGCCAGCAAGGACGTTGGGCCCCGAAGGGGGTGGATTGTAAAATCCTACATCGGTTGGGGAAGAGAACAAAACACCATTTATAAGGGTGTGGAAACCTCTTCCTAGTAGATGCATTTTAAAAACTTTGAGGGAAGCCCGAAAGGAAATGCTCAAAGAGGACAATATCTGCTTGCGGTGGGCTAGCCGTCAAGGGACTGCTTGAAGAGAGCGGAGATTATTTGATTGAGCCATTATTGTAGTGTTGTGTGCTCTCAAGGAAACAATAACAATGACACCTCAATATGTAATACTTATATTTAAATAATAATTGTTGCTACGGAAACATAGTTTCAACAAGTTAATAGCATTTTTGTTATAAAAAAAGTTTAGGACAGTCTTTGCACAAAATTGCATGTGTAAAATTGCTGGCTGTTGTTGTTATAGAACTGCATAGACAATATAAAAGTGCATCTCTATGGCTATTAACCACAAAATCATGCTTAAGACGGAAACGAATCTTACTTAAAGCATTCATGGCTCAGATACTTTTGTAAGATCCCACATCGGTTGGGGAGGAGAGCGGAGTATTATTTATAACGGTGTGGAAACTTCTCTCTAGCAGAAGTGTTTTAAAAACCTCGAGGGAAAGTGCAAAAGGGAAAACCCAAAGAGGACAATTTCTGCTAGAGGTGGGCGTGGACTGTTACAACTTTGCAAACATATGCGAAGTTCTACCATATGATCTAAATACTGTGTTGCCAAGTCCCTCAATTCTATTGAAGCTAAAGGGTGAAGGTTCTCACTGTCAACTTTCATCGACCATCAAGTTCGACATCGAAAAATCCACGTCTCAGGTTCCCCTGCACCACTGTAAGTTTATTATCATTTTTCTAACCCATTGACACATTTTAAAAACTTTGAGGGGAAGCTCGGAAGGGAAACCCAAAAAAGACCATATCTGCTAGTGGTGGGTTTGGGCTATTTCAAATGGTATCAGAACCAGACATCGGGCAATGTACCAGAAAGGAGGCTAAGCCCCAAAGGGGGTGGACATGAGGCGGGATGTGCCAGCAAGGATGC